AACGCGCAGTGGCATCAACACGTACATTTTGAGACCCATTTTCACCAAGCCGGCAAAAATCCGAATTTTGCGCAATGTGAATGAAACTTTTAGCACCTTTAGAACTGAGTATCTCCTAAACATCCTGTAAATCTAAAGTTACTTCTTGTATTAACTTAGGAGATACGAATTTTTAAACGCCAACGCGCAGTGGCATCAACACGTACATTTTGAGACCCATTTTCACCAAGCCGGCAAAAATCCGAATTTTGCGCAATGTGAATGAAACTTTTAGCACCTTTAGAGATGAGGATCTCCTAAACATCGTGCAAATCTAAAGTTACTTCTTGCATTAACTTAGGAGATACGAATTTTTAAGCGCCAACGCGCAGTGGCATCAACACGTACATTTTGAGACCCATTTTCACCAAGCCGGCAAAAATCAGAATTTTGCGCAATGTGAATGAAACTTTTAGCACCTTTAGAGCTGAGTATCTCCTAAAGATCCTGCAAATTGAAAGTTATTGCGAGCATTAGCTTAGGAAATACGAATTTTTAAACGCGAACGCACAGTGGCTTCAACACAATCATTTTGAGACCCATTTTCACTAAGCTGGCAAAAATCAGAATTTTGCGCAATGCGAATGAAACTTTTAGCACCTTTAGAGCTGAGTATCTCCTCCAGATCCTGCCAATCGAAAGTTACTTCTTGCATTAGCTGAGGAGATACGCATTTTTAAACGCGAACGCGCAGTGGTATTAACACATACATTTTGAGACCCATTTTCACCAAGCCGGCAAAAATCAGAATTTTGCGCAATGTGAATGAAACTTTTAGCACCATTAGAGCTGAGTATTTCCTAAACATCGTGCAAATCTAAAGTTACATCTTGCATTAACTCAGGAGATACGAATTTTTAAGCGCCAACGCGCAGTGGCATCAACACGTACATTTTGAGACCCATTTTCACTAAGCTGGCAAAAATCAGAATTTTGCGCAATGTGAATGAAACTTTTAGCACCTTTAGAACTGAGTATCTCCTAAAGTTCCTGCAAATTTAAAGTTATTGCGGGCATTAACTTAGGAGATATGAATTTTTAAACGCGAACGCGCAGTGTTATTAACACGTACATTTTGAGACCGATTTTCACCAAGCCGGCAAAAATCAGAATTTTGCGCAATTTGAATGAAACTTTTAGCACCTTTAGAGCTGAGTATCTCCTAAAGATCCTGCAAATTTAAAATTACCTCTTGCATTAGCTGAGGAGATACGCATTTTTAAACGCAAACGCGCAATGGCATCAACACATACGTAAATTTTGAGACCCATATTCACCAAGCCGGCAAAAATCAGAATTTTGCGCAATGTGCATGAAACTTTTAGCACCTTTAAAACTGAGTATCTCCTAAATATCGTGCAAATCTAAAGTTACTTCTTGCTTTAACTAAGGAGATACGAAATTTTAAACGCAAACGCGCAGTGGCGTCAACACGTACATTTTGAGACATTAAGCTGGTAAAAATCAGAATTGCGGTCGATTTTCATCACATTTTCC